ATCGCTGATTCACAATATTACATGTGGTGCTTTAGCCTTACTGCTGGGTGGGTCCTTCCTTTGTGGTCGTGTAGGTGAGGAATCATGTGGGTAAACAATACTCTGACAGGCCCTCACAGAAAACATGGCTTTGGGGCAATGTTTTTAAAACAAATTCATGTCCTGAGAGGTCCAGGAGCGCTGAATCTCCACCCAGGAGACGCTGAGCTGCCACATCTGGGCGGAGCTCTTCATACTCTGAAAATCTCTGCTTTACCTGATTATTTGAAGGCCATTATATGAGTCATCATCATACAAAAGGTAAAGTTTGAGTCATAAATGCTGGAAGTAAGACAGACCTGTAGTGAACAGATTAACTGAGGAACAAAAAACCCTTGTTTTCATGAAAAGTGTAACATTTAAAGTTACATATTTGAGCACAAATTGGAGGGATTTTTTTAATCCACTTCAAATCAAGGGGGTGTTACAATCATTACCATCAGATAAAACAAGTATAGGGACACTTTTTCTCGCATTCTTTAAACCTTTTTCCGTTACCCAAAATGTATCGTATTGATGATCATCATTAAAACTAGCATCCAACAACTTAAATTAGGTGAAATAACGAAAAAAGATCTCGAAGTCCAATCAGGTGTGTACAGGATTAACAGGAGGGGACTGCACTGAGCAAAAATACTCCGTGTTTAAGTGTAACTAACTTTCAGAGCAGATTAAACCCTGAAAATAAATCTGATTTGAGTTAATCCTCATTAAGACTGATTTCTGAGTTTTATTGTGACCGCAGGTGGGACTCGTGAAATCTTTAGAAACAGAAAACAAAAAGAAAAGCAGGCCTTTCAAACTATTTCAACCTTTTTTACTCTCACAGCTGTTTATTTATTTGCACATTTTAATTTCCCCTCTTATGTCCATTATGAAAGACTATTTATTTTATTATGATTCTCATAATTTTATTTGAGTAATTATCAAATTAATCCTCAACCAACCCTTTCATCCTCAAGCCTTTTCAGATTTCGGTCTCCTTTCAGAGCTCAGGCAGTCCTTTTAAATAAAAAGTGGATAAATAGATTCCTACCTTTTTTTAAAATGGAAAAAAATTAGGTTAGATTTCAGTGGAGATGCTTCTTTTGTTTTCCTGTCTGCGTGTTGTCTCGAAGATGCTGTTTCCTGTTGTACAAGTCTTGTACAGACAACATGGGACATATATGGAGAAATGCGAAGGTGTGGGCGGGGCTGAGCACAAACATGGGAACATAGATGATGGAAGGACCACAAGACCTGGCTGGACATGCCCTGTAGCATGCTCTGTACTCACTGAACTCTGCTGTGGAGACAAGGAGCGCTTACCTAATTTGCATCAGGGGAAAAAACGCCACTAGGAAAAAGATTATTATGTCTCAGCACCAGAAGTCATAAAGCACATACAGAGGTTTGTGGGATTGTAGTCATAACAGTGATGCTGATGCTAATTAAAATATTTTTGGTTGTTGCTATTACAAATTGCCTAGAATAGAAAAGTGAGTCATCTGAATGACTCCTCTTTTTTTCCCTCTGCATTCCCAGTCTACACAATTACCACCCACCTTTCCTTACCTGCATCCCCCCTCCTCTCACTTACGCACCTACCTCTGTTGAAACTCTGATGACGAGTGTACGGAGATCAGTTTTGGAAACCGAGATGGAATGGGTTTATTTACGTAAGACCATGAGCTGGGTTTCATGGATCATGAGGACATGAAGAAATAAAAAGGAATGTGGCCTCTATTGTTGTTTGTTTTTGCCTACACAGCTGAATTTTACTGTATTTTCACAGAAACTGAACATCAGCTGTGAACTTTATATCAATGAGAATCGAGAACAAACCAAACAGAACAAGAAAAAACTGTTATTTGTTCTTTTTTAATTAGTAAATGCCTTGAATACCAACATGGGGCTTGTCCTGGCCCAGTTTCATCACAGTGCTCCAGTTGTGGAAAAGGATCTTCTGCTCACATGTTCGCTGTTGTCCACTGTTGTGTTTCCCCTCTTATCTCCAGTTCAGAGCTGTCTGTGTGATGGAGCTATTCTGAAGAAGGTTTTCACTTGATTTCTGTTGTTTTTCTGTTCTTTTCATTTTTGTGCCATAATTTTGACATATTTAGGGAGCCCACGCAAGATTTACCTTAAAAATATAAATATTTTCCAAATCACAGGCCCCTGACGTGCATCAATATTATGCGCTTTTTAAATTTGTGTGATTTTTCCTGCATTTTTCAGACCTTCTAACTTGTTTACTTGAGGAGATATCCATGTGAAATCTTCAGGGCTCAAAAACACATTGTGGAAACCTAAACCCACTCTGAGTGTCCTAATCTAAAATCAAAATCAGCATTTCTTTCCTATAACTAACTCTGAGCGTGGGATTTATCATAGCTTCGATAGCAAAACTGCATTAATTAATGTGCATGACTCAGACGAACAGAGACAGTGAATACTTGATATGTTTTTGTATAATTCAATGGAGGAAAAAGTGTTTGGGGCTAACTTTCAGAGGCCATGTCACCATGTGGGATAGGTGGCAAAACAAGGTCTTCTTCTATCTACATTTTGATGCCAGGCTCATCTTCTAGTCATCATTCCTGCTGTGTGAAAATTATGTGTTAAAGTTGCATTTATTTGACATTTGTGCATAAAATGGAGAATCTTTGTCAAAATCTCTGCAATTTGAACATGCAGAAGGAACTGGATCACAGAGGGTCTCTGGATCAATGGATGATCTGAATATGCGCTAGAAGATGAAGATGAGCAATCACATGATTCCTTTTAAAGTTTAGCATAAGGAAGTAAAACAAAATGCCACAAACTGAACAGGCAATGAAGCCACAAACAGCAAAGAGAGCATCCACTGATCCTTAGACCTGTATATTAATATTTCTGCTTAAAAGCAGTGTTTGAAAAAATCCTTCTGAATAAAAATTTGATTTTAGTTTTATATTGTGACTCTTGGAGTTGGTGTAAACCTAGTTTGATTGGAGTTTAAGTGTGTTTTACTCCACTGAAACTTTCTTGTGGTTATCTCTGTGCTAATGAAATCATGAAGGCTCAAAATGATGGAAAAAATGTGGCAAATTTCAGCCCATATGTACTTCAAGAACCTATAAATCTTAAAATGATTTATGATTGTGATAATAGTCAAATTTAGCATGCCTTCCCTAATGAAGTGGAGATACCATCTAATTATTCTGAGAAGGTTCTTAGATTGATTTATTTGAAACAGTGTAAAGGAGACAAAGTAGGAGACTAACAACATAAATGTCCGCTGTATTTTTATTTGAAAGTCATATTTACAGTTGTTCTCCTCTTGCTCTCTGAAAGTGTGTGCCTTTGTGTCTTTGGCGTTGATTTTCCTCATTAAATAAGCCTCAAAGCCTCTGGACTTCTTTTATGCCTTAATGCTCTAAGCTGTAAGACAGACAGAACAAGGACTGATGGAGAGCAATAAAATGAGATCCTCACATTTTGAATCAGACCACCAGACTGAGAAGATAACACCTCCCACCTGCCAAATGCTGATAAATTCTGCAAGCAGCCCAATCCAACAGCCACATCATCAGGTAATCACATCGTTTAAAGGTGATGCATTTTGGAAAAAACAACCTACTGACACACAACTATTAATGACAGGATGATGCACCATCAAGCTGGTTGCCACCTGACCAGAGGAAACTAGCTTGATGTCGTTAGCCTTAAAAGGAAGTCTTGTTTGGTTAGGATAAAATTTTAAAATGATCATCTACAAGTTAACAAAATCAGGAGAAAGATATGAAACCTCTTTTAATGTCACAGATGCAAAGACACAGTGAACAAGGAATAATACTTCTAATTTTATGTGCACTACACATTAAGAGATACATTCCAAAAACATTCACATAGGCCAAGTGAAAGACACTCGTTGCTACTTATTTCTTGTTATTTTAGCGATTAATTCAATTACGTTTTATTTTATATAACTCAGAATCATAAACACAATATTTTAGCTTTACACATTCAGTGGGTCTACTGTAATTTGATTGTGCAACCACAATTCCCTGCTCACAGCGGAAAATACACAAAACCACATGTAAAAATGTAAGTAGAGAGAAGTATGTTAAGTATATAGATCGAACCACTTGTGTAGATCTAGAAATACTTCTAATTGTTTCTCATTGTCGCTTTTGTGTGGCAAAGGGACCCTTTGGTGGCCCAGTTCTTGCTTTAAAGGGTCTCTATCCAAACTATGTCAGCAGAATGTCCCTCAGATTGACTGAGGGATCAATACTGTAGGGGTCAAAGAATTCTGGGTTTTTCTTTGTTAAAAATAGATTTTTACCAAAGTCCTTCTAAAGTCAAGCCAGTTGGCAGTCACCTTTAAACACATTCAGAGACTTTGAGTTCTATTTTGAAGTATTATCAAAATTAAATTTAATGTCACTAGTCATCTAGGCATAAAAATTAAAAAATGTAGAATCATGCTTTTCACATGAAACTGTACTCTTACTTTTTATTTAGTTTTGGACTTTTGTTTTTGTATCAGACTGTTTATTTTCCATAGTGGCTTACAGCTGACTGTAACAGATGACTGACAGTACTAATGAAAAGATGCACAAAAGCCCTTTGTATTATTCGTGCGCATTTCACCACATTGACAGACCTTTTTATCGTTTTATTTCGTTTATTAAACACACACTTGTGTGTGTCAGATTTTTGCTTGTATTAAAAGCCTCAACTTCAATTAACTAAGATGCATAACTAAGATCAAAGTGTGGTTTTAGGGTTTAAAGTGCAGTTCCACGTCGACACACTGGGTGGCGCGCTTTGAGCTTTAATTTAAATCTTCATTGATGCCATTGTAAAGTGCTGTAGGCGGTGGCTAAAAATAAGACGGACCCAGTGTGTATCCAATCAGATGCGAATATTGGGGAGCTGAGGTCTGCGATTGACCAATCGCTTTTTGAGAAACGTGTGAAGACCTCGGTTTGATTCACCCTCCTGTGTTACCGTAGACGCTTCGCTAGAAACGGCCCTCTTTTAAAGTTCCTGGGGGAAGAGTGGGGCGACCCGGACAAACCGAGGGGAAAAGGGCCAAGATCGAACTCAGGGGATAAATATTTACACAGATTTCAACACGGGAGGATTAATATTAAACCGGACACAAGGTTTGATTATTTAGCTAACGTTTGCTCACTAGCCAAGGTTCAGTTTTGCTGCTGCTAGTTTATGATACTTAGCTAATAGCTACCTAGCTAGCAGAAGCTCGGTTAAGCTCATTGACTGTTTTTTGACATTGCTCGACTAGCAAGTGTGACTCATTCAGTGAATTACGACATTATAATTTGAGTAACTCTCAGCGTCCATTCCCCGTCTTTCCCTCACAGAAATCTAAGGTGAGACACAGAAAACCATCGTCTTGAGCCCGAGAACGTCAGAAAATAAAGAAAATGGCGGAGCCGGACAAATTAAACATCGACTCTATAATTCAGCGTCTCTTGGAAGGTAAGGAGGATCAAATCCGCGTCACAGCCAAGTGTTTGTTATATTAGGGCATGTCTTGGTGGCAGTGAATTGTGTACATCATGTAGGTCAGCTGCAGTTAAAAGCGGACACAGTGTGTTGTAGTAGCCTACTTAAGATCGCTCTACTCTCAGGCTCGGTGGCTGGTTTTGGATCAGCGGTTGAAACCAAAACAACAGTGCTCTTTATAGATTGTTTAGCAAACCGTAAAGATTGGGGGTGCTGGTTTTTTTTTTTTTTTTTTAATATATTTTTTAAATTTAGATGATTTGCTGTCGTGCTGTCTACAAAAGAAGGGAAACGCGTGACGTTATAGAGTGCTGTAGAATTGGAAAAGATGATCATTACTCGCCTATTTATGCAAATTACGCATTCTGATGCGCTATTTGCGTAGGGATATTGTGCTTTTACCTGTGTGTTTTTTTTTTTTTTTTTTTTTTTTTTTTTTGTTTTTTTTTCTTCTTCTGAGTTTATGTAGGGGAAATAATCAGACTCGGTAGCCGTAGTGGACTATTTCCATTTTACGTGTTAATTCTCTTTGAGTAAGAGTAGTTTTATTGCTAATATATATTGTAATATATCTATATCACTAAAGCACTTCTGGATGGATGCAAACTGCATTTCGTTGCCCTGTACCTGTGCATGTTGCCCTGTACCTGTGCATGTGCAATGACAATAAAGTTGAATTCTATTCTATTCTATTCTTTTGCAGTCAGCCCCTTCCCCACTAGAGTTGTTGAGTTATTCAGAACGAAATGCAGATTTTGGTTAGTTGGTTTCAGTTAGTTTCCAGATGGGGTTTTCTCATTGTTCACGTTCTTTGTTTCAAAAATGTTTGGTTTTAGTGTCTTTTAGCTTATTTTTTTTAATTTTTTAAATTTATTTATTTTACTGTGGAGGTTATTTGTCAGGGATATTTTCAGAAGTTCAGAATGGATGTCAAAATTAAAAGGTATCTGGCTCACACTACGTGAACCAAAGGTTGTGATAACCAATTTGATCAAATTGTCAACGACTAAAAAATGAGGATATACCTTGTTTTTATTTCAGTTTGCTTAAATGTTCCTTTACAACTGGTTTTACTTTTGATTTTAGTTCTAGTTGATTATAATAACCTTGCTACTCGCTGGCTTGGCTGGACTGTCTGAATTTTTGTTTTTTTGCAACTGCATTTTTGGAGTTCGTTTGTAGTCTGCTTCCCTGAGAGACTTGTTAATGAGCTGTACAAACAAAAATGCTCTGATTGGGACATACTCCATGTACTCCATGTAATGGTTATTTAAACAGGTTAGGATGCCTCTGTACAAAAGACATGCACTTTAGGAGCAGACAGGTGCATACTACAAAGACTAGATGTTCTCAGGTCACGAAAGGTATGTGCAAGACAATCTGCAGTTACACAAATATGAATATGAAGAATGTGCCTTTTTTTGTAGGCCAAGAATTTAAACTTTTGCCTTAGATCACATGTGAGGAAAAGGGCAACCAATAACTTGAATCAAGTTACAGCAACGACAACATATTTTCAAGGTAACATGAAGACCTGTGTCTCTTGTTTTTTGTTTTATAATCTAAAAGTGGTGTTGAAACACAGTTTCAGCTGCCCTCAAATGGCATCAATAAGTCTGTCCTCCATTTCAGTGTAAAGTGAATTTCCACAGGTGTTTTTAATTTCCTGGAATCAGGATTTGCCTTGTTTTATATTCATTTACATGGTCTTCGTATGTAATTATGCAGTGGTAAAACAGATTTGCATTTGGTATAAACATACCATGAAAGATGCATTTAATGTTAGTCTGCAGTGGCAATAACTAGGCCTAATTTAGAAGTGCAGTTTTTTTTAGAAGCCTTGTAAAATATATTAGGGATGTTATGATACTTAGAAAAATTATAAATATAATTTATATAAAAATACAGATTATAAATGCCTGGAAAACTGTAATACTCAATAAAATGCTTAATACTGTTTTTGATACCATGAAGTTCGAACCATACAGACAGCCAAAACAAACAGACAGTGAGATAACTGTAGGGTGAGCGTGTATGGCAAATATTTCAAGATTGGGAATTTAAAAAAACAAAACAACAAAACCTATAATTTAGGTTGTCTGAGGTAGCGCTGTTCGTCCGAGGACTTGACAGCATATTTCTGTTGCTGAACAAATATAGCGGGTAAGGTCGGCTGACAGAGTTTTTCTCTGTTTCAGTCTGCAAATTTAAGAGAACACAACATGTTCAGACACACACAGTAATATCATCCTGTTAAATTAACATTGTTTATGTTATATATGGGCTGGACTGATAACTTTTGCTGACTGGTTTCACATTAACATTATAATTTTGTTATTAGCTACACTAGCTAGCCACCACCTTAATGATAACCTAACATGATGCTATTGTGGCTATTTAGCACAGATTTTATGTTTGATACCCTTCCTGATGCAACTCTCCCATTTATTTAGGCTTGGGAATGGCATTTGGAGTACACTAGCTTGTGGACCCCTCGATTCTGGGTTTGTGTCCATTGAATACCGGCTAATATTAATGTATGCACTAGCCAGATTAACATTAATGACTGTCTGATAATGGAAACAAAACTGACCTCTTGAAAATTTTCAGTGTTTTTAAACATCAAGTACTGTTCAGCTGCTAGTGAGGGGAGGGGCTGTGTGTGCCCCTCTTCACCCTGCTGCCTTCTGGCAGGAGATAACGGAGCATTCGGGTCCTCACTGCCAGACTGCAAAACAGTTTCTTACCCCACGACTCCCGAACACTCAGTGACTGGACTGACACACACACACGTCACTACCTCAAGGACTAATCTGCACAATCACACGCACACTATTGTACATCAAGTTACTTTTTTCACAATGCTCAGTCTTTTGCACAACTTACTGTCATTGTTGCACTTCTGCGTGTTAGACTGTCTGTTTTGTGGTTGGGTTTTTTGTGCAATTTTTGCACACTTGCACTTTATGTAGTCCTTTGTTGATTGTCTGTTATATGTAGCAGCATGGTCTTGGAGAAATGTCTTGCTTCACTGTGTAGTGTTCCACTGCAAATGGTTGAAATGACATTGAAGCCACTTGACTTGAACTGGAGGAGCTAAAGATGGCACTGTGGTATCAATGCTCCTGCAAATGAGTATGTAATCCAAAAGTAATTTTTAGTGTTGATTAGCATCTGACAGTCTCTTAAAAAAACAACAAAAAAAACAAACAACCATACACAAGACAGTGCCGCAGTGAGATACCATCGCTGCTGATAAACAGTGCTCTGTGATAGACTCAAGGGCATCAGTGTAAACAGTATCACCATAATCAAACAGGGGCAAAGTTTTGGATAGTACAGTGAAAGTGAAACAACAGCTCCGTAAAGAAAAATGTGTTTATAATAAAAAAAAAAAAAGTTTTGTCTTCCATTTGGGTTTTAAAAGTGAGTGTAGCATCCTGCCAGAGTCCTAAGTGTTTAACAATATTGTAACAAACTGTTTCAGTGTTATTACCATAAAAGGTCAGTACTGTTTGGGACTCCTTGCTGCATTTGCTCCACTGCTGCTTTTAAGCACAGTACAAACTGCTTACGTCACTTCTTTGTTTCTCAAAACAAGAATTGCATTAGTATTAAAATTTATTGAAGCTATGTTCTTACTGTAAAATATGTAGTTGTTGTAAACAAATGCATTGCAATTGCATCACAAAAATCCCGAGACATTCCTGAAGCAGATATGAAGCAAGCAATATTCTGTGTTTGCTCTACATGCTAACTGTCCTGGAAATACTTGCTTTAAATCTAACTGCTCACTGACAAATTTGTCGTGGCTTTAAGTGTGTGCGAAATAAACAGGACTGTTTTATCTTCACATCCGTGCTGTGGTTGTGTAATAGGAGCCCAGAGGACATCAAACAGAAGAATAAATGTACTCAGACCCAGCGGTACAGTTCAAACTGCGGTTAGAAGAAACTAGGTTGTGACCTCCTGTAGTTGTCCTTGCATGTCAGTGCACTGGGCACAGCAATTATGAATTTTCCCATGTGAAACTGCTAAAATGGAAAAATCTTTTTGTTATTATGTCACTGGAGCAACATTAGAAGTGTTGTTTAGATTTTCATTTGTGTAGTAAAGGCTACTTCATATATGTATATAAAAATAGGCTTTGCTGCTTTTATTTTAAGGCCCAAATGTGTTTTGTGGCTCCATGCACATAGAAAAGTTATTGACCTCTGATATAACCTAGCATGACAAATCACAAAATTACTTCAGGGTGCTTTATGGATGAGGTAAATCTCTCCCACACAGTGTGATTCATTGAAATTATGCCTTTAGGGGCCACCTGATAGCCGAGTGGTTGGAGGCCTTACCACAGGGGTATAAATGACGTCAGTAGTCAGTCTCCAGTTTGATTCCCAGCAGGTCGAACCTTCACTCTCCACCACTGCTTTCTGTCTCTCTCTACCACTGCAGCTTTCCAAAAGATGCAAAAAAAAAAAGTTATTTTGACCAGTAAATTGAGAAATAACATTTGGGATAGAGTTTTATCCCAGAATCACTGCTGTTAATAAATATGACCTTAGCCCTCAGTTTGTTTACCTTCTTTAAATATAGGCCCTGCATGATCAGCCTAAGCTGAGCTGGTGGAGGTGATTGGGATTATGTACAAATATGCATGTGCAGTCAAAGTACCTCCCAGAGAGAGTGTGCCTTTGTGGGCCATGCTGGCTGCTGCTGCTGCTGGAGTGTTTTGTACATAGATTGTTGTACTTGGGCTGTGATAAGACTGTCTGCCAAACAGAGGAGAAGGCAAACACGCCTGATAATGGCTGTATTTATATCCACTTATGTAACTACCGTGACCTTTTTTTATCCACATTGGTGAGGATAACCACTCGTAAGCTGATATTTGTATTCTCAGCGTTCTGTTAAAGGCGGCAGACTCCCACTGCAGGCACTACATCAAAAGGTTGAGAAATTATCCTCATGCT